AAATCACTACCCCGGGGGGAAAGGGTTAATAATCATATTTTTAATTAAGTTTTATCTAAATAACAATCTAAACTTTCTGTACTTTCCTTTGATTGAAAGAGATTTAAAGGATGTAAACGAATAGCATGGAAAGTACTTAGGTAGGTACATACCGCAGAGCATTTTTTGAGCCAGGCTTAGGAAACCGATGCAAAGTGATGCTGGAATCTTTAGAAGGTGAAGATCCACACATGCAACAGATTCTAGTGTTTTCTTTCTGCGAACTCATTGCGAAAATTAAACACACAATCAAACAAGTCACTATCTCAACACCGAGTCTATATCTCACAAACACACACTTAATTTCACCAAAACACAGCCACGGAGGAGCAAACTCGACTCACGGTAACAATGTATGTAGAATTAAATGCAACTAGTTTATTTATTACAAATAAACATAGGTACAAGATAAAATGGTGCGGGAACCGCAGGCAGACATTTTTCTTGTGACGTCAAACGTGTTGCCAGTAGTTGCCACACATTTTCCCCCTTATCTTTTTTTTGTTTTTGTGTATTGATCAATTAAATATGTTATATTTCTTAGCAAAATAATTTTTTTGGGTATCAGAATAATCACAAAATGTATTTTTAAGGGTGACTTTCTTTTTTAGCTCATTGTTTTGGAGAAAACGAAATTGTAATTTTGGTGGCAACATTTTATAATTCATCTCTTTTACTCTAATGTTGTTGTCTCTTTCTTGTTTTCAAGCCCACCTACATCTTGTTCTAAGAACAAAGTTGACAGACCCTGCATCATCATTTCGAGAATACTCCGTCAAGTCCGGGAACGTTCCCGAAATGACAGTTCTCGAAATGACTTTTAAAAATAAACTCGCCTTTTTTAAAAGGTCGCCATCTTTGACATCATGTTTGGTTTAGTTAATGTAAAATGCTTGAGATTACTATTCGTTATAGAAACTATTATACGTATTTATCATTCATTCTGAGTTAATAAACGCATTCCCGGTATGATGACATATTGATGTACGCTCTGTAAATAATTAATCGAAAGGTACTTACCACTTATTTTTAATTATTTTGGCGAGAAACTTTCTTGACAGCCACTTTGTTTACATCTTTCACTACATTGCACCATAGACATCTACAAGCCACGTTCAGAAACACAATATTTTCGGGCAATCAAAACTGCGTTCACTCAAATGACGCTTACATTGTCGGACATAATATTTTGACATAATTCTCTTTACTTTCTTTGCTTTCTTTAATAATGCATATAATTACTTAATAATGAATAAAATTTAGGGCTAATAAGTGAGAATAACCGTAAAATTTATTTTATTTTATGTATATTTCAAGTGTTAGTTTCTAAAGATTGCTACTTAGGACGCGTTCTCGAAATGATTTTTGTAGTTATTTCTTCAAATAATAATGAAGATGTTTTACTTTTAAAGTATAATATACGAGGTACAGTTAATATGAACCCTTTACAGTATTTACAAATAATAATTTGTTTAAAAAAAAACGCACTGAGGCAGTTATTTTCAAGTAAAGCTGATTTTCCACCTTGGTGATTTTGACCCATCTGCATTTTTTCTTGTTTTCATGACAATGCAAACTAAATAACTACTTACCTAATGTATTATATTTTACCTACTTAGGTATACGTTGTAAAAAGTAGTCTGGTCCTGTTATAGTTTATTTGCAATTTTAAAGTACATTCTGAATTTAGGGCAAATATTTTTTCTGTCGTGATAATGCTCTACGGGAAACGATAGGAAAAATATTAGTTTCACTTTGATCACCATTTGGGGTTTTTTTCTAGGCATCAATAATCTTGTGTATCTTTCAGCCTGGCTAGAAACTACACTTGCTATCCATTTCTTCGTTATCAGAAAGTGAATGACACTAAAATTAATTTCCACATGTATAATCGAGCGCCTCGACATTATTTTTGAGTCGAGTGAATCTTTCATATCTAGTTTATGAACATTACTAGGTAGAGGTACCTGCCTCGAATTAGAGATTTTGATGTACTACTTTCCTACTTACTTATTGTTGGAAATTTCATTTGTATAGATGAAATTACAAAGATATTTTTTTACCTAGTAATTAAGTTTTTACTATACCTATATTTTTTTCAGATGCAAATACGATTAGTGTAAATAACGAAACTTTATAACATCTATTCATTCAGAAAAAAAATGTATTTGATTCAATAGGTTTTAAGTTTCGATTTACGAAATATGTAAATAGGTTTCAATTTAATCATGTGTGGATGGATAGTTAAAGGGTTAAAATGGCATGAAATAAAACATTATTTTATATGTATTATTGCTAAGGTCAATATTTAATTTCTATCAATATCCCCTACGTCAGATTACATTCGTTGACATTATTTCAAAAATTAAATGTAAGTAAGCCAAACACTTTTTCATACATTATCGGCGATTTGTACTCTGTCTTATAACTCTAGCTACATTCTAGGCCAAAACCCTACAATACCCAAACCTGCCCAAAGTAAATACAAAGAAAAAAAACTAAACCAAACATTAAATGACGGATAAATAAAATCTTAATAGAAAGATGTTAGTATTTTTTATAAATAAGAACGGAAACTATTCTAAATAAATAAAATACCACAAGTTAGAACACAAAATACTAAAGCAGAAAAAAAACGAATAAGGTGGACAGGTGTGTACTGGTATCTCTTCGGTGGAGAAAGCAAGCGTATTTGTTTTTAAACGACAGGGACGACACAACATAGATTATAAGTTAATATTGTATAAAGGATTCATGCTTATTTTATGCGCGATGTTTCATAACCTCATTGCTGCCGGCGCGGAGGCCTAAAGATGACTATAAAAAGTTAAGCGGGTTTCGATAATCACTGGCCATTGTTTTCAAACAGATTCGAATTACAATCTTTACTTAGAAGTAAGACGCTTCAAATCCCTATTCCCAAATAGGTACAATCGCGCACAATTACAGCACATCCACAATAATAGTATTATTATTCAGAGGTATATAATCTACCTTTGACTAGTTTTTATACACACCATTTAGTATTTCTTATGTATTGTGTGCTTTATATGGGTATATTACTTATATTCAACCAAACACCACACCAACATAATTTTAAACCAAAATTCTAAACTACATTTTAAATTATAGAACACAGTTTTCTTTAAATACTTAAGTATACATTACTTAAAGATTTAAATGTTGCGCAAAATTATAACTGACTAGTTTCGCGTATTTTAAGTACATTAAATAAATAATTACTCTTAATGAAACATTTATCCTTATCTATCATAGAAATTAAAGAAAATACTTATTCAAAATGCATTAATACAAGCCCATCTATTATTTTCGTGAATATCTGCTTGTTTTCCATTTTAATTATGATATGCATTTGACTATTAATAATTTAACTATTACAGAAAGTTCTAGAATTGAATATCTGAAATTATACAGTTATATAAGGTATTATTACTGAGTAGATTTACCCAACTAATTTTGAACTTACACTACATTCAATATATTAATATAAACATCGAAATGAAATCTATAATTTCTATTACGATTATGACAATAAATTATGTTTACAATGAATTTTAAATTACTTAAATTTAATAATAAATAGTGATGATTATATAATCAAATTAGAGAGACAATATCATGATGTGAAAGTCAAATATCATGGATATAATTTGTGCAAGTGTAATATAAATTTGACAAGAAATTATTGTGGTATTGCATAACTGGGCTCCAATACTTACACGAATATTGCAATGGCTCATTATCAATTTGACTTTCACTGTATAATATACAAACACTATAATAAATTATGTGCCCAATGTGATACATGAAGGTATCAGAGTCATAATAAAATGTTGATCAATAACTAATTAAGTGTACTGTCATGGTCCTTAAATAATTTTGATACGAGATTAACATTGTCAGATTAATGGAGAATTTATTCGATAATGGAACAATATAAATACAATAAAATAATAATTATGATCCTAATTATTAATTGTTCTATAAAATGTATCCACCCTATTTTATGACTTTGTGCACAATTCAAGCTCCAGAATTATATTATTTCTTAGACATTATTATAATAATGGGGCCATCCTTATTTTATTAACATGAATGGAAGTAATAGTTTTTAGTCATATTTTCACTTACAAACACCATTTTATAAATCAGTCAATGTATATCTGACCTCTTTGGTAATAATTATACAATGAATATTTTGTTTATATTATTTTAATTATTGCAATAAAATAATAAATGTTGTATGCAATAATAATTGCACTGGTTTTTTAATATACATATTTTAATAAAATATTTCTTTTTACTTACAGTAAAAAGTTTAATATTGCACTGTCAATTGTTTAACATATATTATTGCAGGGATCACTGTTACAATAGAATCTTGTTGGCATCATTATCCTACTAATACCAGAAGGTTAAGGGTTAACTATATTTAAAAAAATCCTGTGTAAATGTGGACATAAGTTAAATACAAAATTTGAAATTAGAAACAAGTCCGTAACTCATGTCATTGTTCTCTTAATTTGATTCAAAACGTGGTATGAACAAATTTTTACTTCATTACGCCACTTACACCTATTTTACGACCAGAATATTTAATATATGAAAACTTACACGACTTGCTCCTAATTTGAATATCTTAGGACATATTAAGGTATTTCACTAGACATGTATTTCATGGACATGATAAATTAAAATTAGGTCAATTTTGTAGAACACTCAGTATATGTCAGTCATTTAGAAATCTTCTAGATATTATTGTGATGTTATTATTTGTACTTATAATGTATGAACATTGTTACAAACTGACATTGTGTCATGATTTGAACCACATTTATTTCATATTTCGTTCAGTACTGTAAGTCAAACTTCAAACCATGACAAAGTAATGATCAACATTTTTGCATTTAGCTACAATTTATTGACTAGATTTGGATCATTTAAGATTTACTCTTGTTCGTTTTGAAGCTGACCTGGAGTACCTGGCCGTTCAGTGAGTATCCATTCAAAGATTGGATGGCAACAACAGCCTCATCGTAATTGGTCATGGTAACAAAACCGTATCCCTTGCACTTGTTAGTTGTGGGATCTCTTATTATTTTAACACTCTGGACGGCACCAAATGGGCCAAAGAGCTGCCAGAGTACACTCTCTTCTGTGTCAGCTCCTATGTTATAAACAAAAATGCACCATCCTGAGCCACCGATAGCATTACCTTGAATAAGTGGATCGGCCAAGGGAGAAAATCGTTGAAGACCCTTGTTGATAGCGAGCAGTGCTTTTCCAGCTGGACCTACGAAGCGACGAGCAGCTGCAGGAGCTAAATAAGCAGCTAAAGGGGCAAGAGCCTTGTTCTGGTTACTCGGGTTATTAGCACATTTAACTGTGATAGGCCCAGTACCACCTGGTGGTACAGTACCATTCAACTCACGTATCGCGTTTTCAGCTTCGTGTCGCTGGTCGTAGCGGATGAAAGCCACTCCTCTCGACGGACCTTGGATCGATGGCTCCTCGGCGCCAACTTGGAGCAGATGACCAACATTCACGTTTTCATGAAGAATGCGTGAGCTGATGATGGTGCCAAACGGGCTAAAGAGCTTCTCCAATTCTTGCTGAGTCATGTGCTTCGGCAGACCGGACACGTATAGGTTGGCACCTTTAATGGCATCCGAGCTCGGGCGGGCGTAAGATACCTTAATGATTTTATTCTGGAGTCTCAGGCCATTGAGCGTGTTTACAGCCTTTTCAGCGTCTTCTGGCTTATGATAGTTAACAAAGGCATACCCCAAACTCTGTCCATTGAGAATGTGGTCTGGGAATACTGTTACTTTGTCTCTAATAAGTTTGCAACTTTCTACTTCGCCGACACTCGAAAATAACGAGCGAATCTCTTCCTGTGTCATCGTTTGCGGCAGGTAGTTGATAATGAGGTTGGTCTTCGACTCATTATTACAAGGTTGGACCTTGCTTCCATTTTGCGTGGGCTGGTTCACGTTAACGCCGTCGAGTGGATTGGCCATCATTTTGCCTATTTCTATGTTTACACCAAATTAGGAGTAACGTCACAGAAAATGTGACTCTCTAATAGAAATATAATACTTGTGAGTCAAAACATAGATCCACGTTCTTAGTCAGCTATAACAACACTACCTTCGCGTTGGTTGAAATCATATGCAAGGGAAGAAAATCAATAAGATGCTGTTCACTTTTGTACTTATCCTGTTTTCGGTGGTACAACGCCGAGTCCGTTGAATCAAAATATAATCAGAAACACAAATTAACGTTAGTTTATTAGATCTTACAGAGAATATGAAAGAAAAGTGAAAAGGAAATCAACCAAAAATCTATGCGACTCGCGACCTATTCTCGTAAATTCATTTCTTTCACTTCACTTTCTTTTTTAAAATGTTGCCAAGTTATAAATCAAGACTCCACTCTTTAACTTCTTGTTACAATTTTATTCCTCACAAATAAGATGTAATTCCAACTTATTTTCTAATAGGAACAATAAAATTTCTTTTAGATAATTATAGATTTACAAGATAACTAATATTTGTTTTAAAATTGAAACATTTGAAATAAAATGCAATTAAAGAATTTGTTACACTTTGTTAGTTGTTGTTGTTAGAATAGTTAAAGCTTATAAGTGAATCATATCGATACTTTTTCAAATTTCGTGTTGTGAACTCTTTTACAATAGATTTGGCTTCAGAAGTCAGTTAATAAAGTAACTAAATTTTTTGTCTTTTAGTGGTTTTTCATGAAAAATAATCAATTCTGACTTCTAAATTTAGGATTTCAGATAAAATCAAAAACTAAACCATATTTTTTTCTTTTTCGTTTTTCTTTATTAATTTCTAATTATATTTTGTACAAAATTTTTTTTTCTTTTTAATTATGATTCGTTAATTAGATGGCACATATTTACCCTACGAAATGGTTAATATTTTAAGGAATACTACCCTAAAACAGGTATACCAACATCACGGTTACACTACGTAGCCAATACAAAAGTCAAAAACCAATAAGAAATAGCGTTTATAGAAATAGCTAAATTAATATATGGATGTAATTTATTTTATTTTCAACTTATTTCAGTCATTTTATGAATTTGCAATAAGCATAATTTTAATCTCCTAAATATTAATTTACGTATTAGTCTACAGACTGAACATTTTCTCTGTTTTTTTAATATATTCAATAAAAAACGATAGTTGCGCCATCTGTTATAGAGGGTTCTAAACGTAAAAAAGATGAAACTGCGCATGTGCACAACGCTAAGTTCTCCATTCTACGTTAGAGTGAGTGAGTAAAACTTAAGATTATAATAATAAATAGAAGAAAACCTTGAAGTCGCCTAACCAGAGTTTGAGTGACTACAGGATCTGTCTTCCCCAACAATTTGCAGACCTCGATCGACTAACGTCTGAGTATGCTCTAGAGCTGGGGAACTTCAATGTAAGATTCATTGCGTGGGGTTCTGTCTCCTAAATAGGGGCTCCACCAACACGACAGCAAGGAGGTTCAATAGTGGATTTTTCGTTCTGTTAGGAGTCTCGGAACCTTGTTTTTCTTTTTTGGATGTTAGGATGAGACTAAGGGCGCTAGACTATTAGACAGCTATACTATTGATGGAGAAATACTGAGTGTGCAGACTGTGAAGGTTAGAAGTGTAGGGTATGCAAAAAAGGTTGCAGAGGGCAAGTAAAACACCTCGCTATTGAAAATACAAAAAAAAAACAAAGCAAATTCTGTTTCAATAAGATTGAACTTTTTTTTGGTAACATTAGTCTTTTTTATTTTATTTTTATCGGTAAGCAAACAGATCATCTGATGGTAAGTGACTACCGCCGGCCATGGCCTCAATTCAAGAATCACAAGTGAGTTGAGAGTTAGTCCTTGGTTGTGATCACTCCGATCGAGGCAGCCAGCAAGAACATATACTGTTCAATTCTCGTCTAATATTGACCTGTTTTGAAGAGTTTATAGTTGTCCTGACGTAGGTATCTAGTAAATAGTGTTATAAGCATCGCGTCATAAAATAATAATAATAATATTCTACCACATACTCACAACGCCATCTAGTCCCAAACTAAGCAGAGCTTGTACTATGGGTACTAGACAACTGATATAAATACATATATACTTTTTTTTTTAATACATACATATTATACATAGAAACACCCAGACTAAATCAAACATCAAATGTTCATGCACACAAATGTTTGACTTGAGAGGGAATCGAACCCGCGACCTTTGGAATAGCAGTCCGTTACACAAACCACTACGCCATCCAGTCGTCAAAAGAAAAAAAAAAGAAAAAAGAAAGTAAGGTAATTTTAATGGCGCATTGTAACATTTGCAACACACAATTTAAAAATTTACATCTAGATACAGAGGTGCACGTCATCACCACACAAAGGAAATATTACTGTCCCAGTTAAAAAAACCCTGTACGATTGATGATTATGATTTCAACTTGGTACCGTTTTCTTGACAGATAGACAGGCGGATAACGAAGTGACCCTATAAGGGTTCTGTTAATTCCTTTTGTGATACGAAACTCACAAAACATAATTATATTTATCAATGCGTATGGTATCGGTCTACAAAAAATATCCTTGCAACCGTTTACGCAAGACCTAGATAGATGGCGTTGTGCCATCGAACGCTGATCGATCAGTCAGCCACTCAATCTTTTTTACCAAATTTCATGTAAACCGGGTCAGTCTTTATTGATTCCCCATACAAACTCTTCTCATATGGATAATTTCTGGGATAAAAACTATCATATTTCCTTTTCCGGGACTCAAATTATCTCTATATTAAATAAATCAGTTTTGAAGTGCGTGAATCAGTGAATAAGTAACCGACAGGCAGATAGACACACTTTCACATTTATAATATTAACATAAACTAGTTGATTCGCGCAACTTCGTCTGCGTAGGAATTAATTTCCCCCGTTTTGCAACATTTTTTATTGATGCTCGGCTCATATTGTTGGTAGCGAGATGTTATGTAGCCTATAGCCTTCCTCGATGAATGGGCTATCCAACACCAAAAAACGTTTCATTTCGAACCAGTAGATCCTGAGATTAGCGCGTTCTACCACCCAAATAAATTCTCAGCTTCATAATATTAGTATAGGTCAGGGTAGGCGAACCTTTATGCATCAACGTGCCATTTTTTCTAAAAAATGTGTAATGGGGTCATTGACGTGCCATCAAATAATTTTGACTTTCTGATTATTTTTTCATTTTGATAGGCTGATGATGATAATGATTATTTGGAAAATAACAATAATAAATACTATCAAAACTCTTTATTAAATAAAGTAAACAAAAGAGGTACATTTTGAAATGTTTTTATTACACGCATAAATTAAATTACTGTAAAATTAGTGTGACTTCTGTTGCTGCAAGTTAGATGACAAATAAATTATGTTAGGGTTGTAAGATGTTACTTTTAGCAAAATGCATGCTGAACTGGATTCATCTGACAAACGGTTTTTAACCGAGTTTTTAATGTTATACATCTCTGAAAATAATGACTCACAGGCATAGGTAGATGAAAACATTGTTAAAATAGCATGAGCCAGCTTCTTCAAACAGTTAAATGTGTCTGGTAACGCATTCCATGTTTCCAGAATTTTGTTATTAGCATTTTTTACTTAAATTACTTGTCAATCTTTCAGTTTCAATTAATTCCAACTCTTTCCTTGTTTCAATAAATTTTTGAATCCATATTGAACTAGATTGGAAATCAATCAACTGCATTTCAAATTCTTCAATTTCCAACCAATCGAATTGAGAGAAGTTCAGTTTATGAAATGACGTCTCATCGGGGTACATAATAAATTTGAGTATTTCCGACAATTCTTTGAACTGAGAAAATCTCCCTGAAAATTCTTTAATTAAAGAATCGATTACAGAAATAAATTCTTCAGTAAATTATTCTTTGTCTGCTGTCTCGTGAATGTCAAAATCAATTATATATTTTTTCAAGTTTGGAAAATACTTGTAGTTTCTTGTGATTATATCGTTTCTGATGCTTGCAGGTTAGCCTCGAACACTCCGTAGCGTAGGTTCGATCGTCATAAAATACCTACTTAACACATTTTTTACACATGTTTTATGATCGGCGACGTGCCCAAAATATTGTGTCGCGTGCCATCAACGGCACGCGTGCCATTGGTTCGCCTACCCTGGTATAGGTGATCTTGGTTGTGTTTTATACGACAGTAGATAGTATGTAATTATTGTAATTAAAACGACTTCTTGGGTTGACTAGTATTATATTGTAATCAGTATATTACGGACAGGCCTCGTCCTTACAGTGTTACAGACATCAGAACAATGAATATTTAATTCATAGTGCAATGCATCTTGACATATAAATCTACTAAACTAGATGTTAGGTTTAGATTGTTACGTTAGATGTCTGATGTCGTCCACCTTACGGACTAAGTGGCGGGTAGAAGCTAGTTTTAATAAATTTGCAGTAGGCTTATTATTCCCGTTATTATATGCCTTAAACAAAAGAAAAATCTTATTAAAGTCCGGTACCGTACGGTACCAATAGCTGGACGATAAATTGGGTTATATTTTGAAACTTGAATATGTTCGCTGTCAGTTGGTGGCTGTGGTTAATTGTTTAGTGAGTAGATGTATGCAAAACACGTTGATATATCATAAACGGATGTGTTTGGACAATGGAAACGAACTGAGTCATCGAGTTACGGTGCGTGTGTGTGCCTCAAGTGAAAAGAAAAGCGGTCTGTTATGAGTCCGGCACAATTTCAGAGTTGCAATACATGTGAGAATTTTTGTAACAATAAATACTTAAACAAGTTATACTTATGAGCTTAATAGTTTGTCTAATGAGTATAAATTGTTAAATTAGAACAGTATAATATAAAACTGACATGCTTGCTTGCCATTGAGGTTAACCAGAAATATAACGGTCACAAAATACCTACTTTAGGAAAACTTTATTCCAACAAAAACATTCTCATGGAAAAGTT